AAACCAGCACCAAGGTGATAAACTGTACATTTCCAGCAGTAAACAAGACTATAGTTACCATCATTCAGGTTTATTGTTTATTAAAGTTTTTCAGTCATTAGCAAGAGACTGATTGGAGATTCTGGAGTCCTCTGCCAAACCAAAGAATGTATGCTCAGCTCTCTAGAAAAACATTTCCCAAGGGGATAGGCCAAGAGTTTCCCAAGTCTCTGTGGCTAACTGTAGCAGCCTTTGGAACACCACAGCCAACAAATGCTTCTCACAAGCCACCAGTCCAAATCCACACACGTTGGTCTATGACTTTTCATATCCTTCCAGATGCCTCAGCACGCACCAAAGCAACAATTCTACCTGGCCACACCCCTAGTTATAAACCCCAAACTTGAAGTAGCTGCACTGCTTTGCCACTGATTAAGCCATCACTGTTTTGGCAATGAGTATTGCTTACTGAAGAAGATTTTTGTTTCACATAAATTAAGATAGAAACAGAATAGCTTTAATAACCTGGGCATTTATATTTACTTACTGCCTAGGAGTAGATGGGCATCTGTACTTTACACCTACACAAGGATATATCCAAAGTCAAATTTGTTGCACTAGCTGCAATTAACAGTGCTTTCCTCACTCTTTTTGGTATATCTGGAAGAAAGAGAAACAGAGAGTGGGTTGTGGGGTTTTTTTGGTTTTGTTTTGTTGTTGTTGTTGTTGTTGTTTTGTTTTGTTTTGTTTTGTTTTCTTTGTTCACCTCTTTTTGTCTCCACCAGCTGTTAAGAAAAAGGACAGGGAGCAAGTAACAAAACCTGCAGCCTAGGGGTAGGTAGGCAGACTCCTGTTGCCAACTCAATCTCCTCCCTGCAAGCCTCCAATTTCTGCAAAACTGCAGGACTAGGGCTGAGCCATGAAAGAACAGCGGTGTCTGGCATGTGTCCTGTTGCTTAAAGAACAGGCAAATGAGGAGAAAAGAGGCATGAGGAGGCTGCAGAAATGGAATACACACATATTCAAAGGTGAGGCTGTATCTACACAAGAGGAAAAACAGGCAGAAAGGTCTAATGCAGGCAAAATGCACTGATAGAGGGGATACAGGTACCCCGTAGGGGAAAATAGCAATAACAACAACAAATAAGTTATTAGGAGGATTAGAGGAAATAAACTAATGGAAATACCAAACAAAAATGAAAAAATAAAACTTAAATGCCATTAATAAATATCCATTTCTTGTGACAGACTATTAAAGCTTCAGTGCAAGACTGATTTTACAATTAGTACGAATAACCACTGTTTGGTAGTGTTAACACTTAATGTAATAACAGCCAATGGTGATCAGTAATATTATTTTCTCAGATGTAACCTGAAATGCAATACTGTTTTCTTTTATGAGAAGCCACTGATGACCTGCAGTGAGCTCCATTCAGTAAGGTCAGCATGACCTTAGCTGTCTGACCATAGCTGTCAATGGAAACCAAAACTGCAGGAATATTGATCTGAGACATCGAGTCCCTTCTGTAGAATCACTGGGTTCAGATCTTTGCAAGTTTCTCTAGAGAATACAAAAACATTATAGCAGAGATAAGGTCAGCCTAATGTTTCTGTAACATGGCTGTTTCAAAATCATAATGATTTATATTACTTATTTAACCTGCAAGCTGGTGAAAGGTTTTCATATTTTTTTGCTTTTGTTCTTAGCTATAATGTTCATAAATGCTGCCTTTTCCTCTTTCAATTTCCTTGTCAAATAAGAACTGGTTCTTTAGTTTACACTAAAAGTCCGTCTAGTCCAGTACGTTCCCTCGAAGAATAGCCACAACAGGATACTTCCCAAAGAGATTCCTGTCTGATTTCTATTGAACGCAAGGAGTTGTTCCCCGGTGAGAGAACCACGCCTTGTTAACTATGCTGCCATTTTGTAACTAGAGTGTTAAAAGCTTATATAAATGCAAATAACACTGTATCAATAACTCATCCACTTCCCCCTCACTTACCGCCCTTTGGAGAAAGCGCTGCGGAGAAAGTAATTTCCTCCTCACATAAAATTTTTGTCAATCTTTTGATCTCAGGCCTTTACGAAATATATTGAAACATAATAGTTACAAATTATATGACTCTAGGAGAAGCTGTAATAGTTCTTGCCCTACTTTCAAAGTAGCTTTCTCAACTGTGAGCCAACTGCACTAGTATTCTGTAATCTTGTAAATTAGTGGCAAAATTGTGTTCTTTACTCAATGAATTTTATCTAGAAATTTAATGCCCTCATCGAATATGTAGCTGACACTACTACAGAACATATTCTTGTATGTTTTAAATAATGAAGTATTTATTAACAAATCTAACCACAGTCTTTACATCTCTAGAATAATCAAATTCTTTATATACAGCCTGTACTAGAACTGAAAAGCATAGGTTATTTCTGAATAATTCCTAAAAGATATTTGCATTATTTCATTAAACAAACAATCCTTCCCTATTTTACACAGTTTACAATTGCATAATTAAATATATATTCACTATAAATCACAACAAATATTTTTATGTGTGCATTAATTGGAATATTAAAATGCTGATATCGTGTCATTTATCTGCTTTTCATGTTCAGCAGTTTCTAACAGTAGAACAGTTTGAAAGTGAGAGAGGGAGAGATGGGTCCATCCTTTCACTGCAGAGCATTGCATTGCTCTGCCAGCCTCAACCACTTTACCAGTGCTTCTTATCCTTATCCTGTTATAAAAAAGGGGTTATAGAATCCATTGTTATTCTTGGAGGCATATGCCAAGGACTCTTGTTGAACTATTCTGTAAGAAGAAGGAAGTGTTGTACATGTCCATGCCCAAGACAGGAAAGGTGGTGCTCAGAAGTCAAAAACAATTGTGCACAGCTGGACAATTTCCACAGAGCGAATTTATGGAAGAAACTGTTTTTAAGTAGTTATTTGCCAATTTAAATGTGTCTTTTTCATTGACTCCCATTACTATGTGGTTTCATAAAGCACAAAAGCCTTCAAGAAATGAGCACCGTCTATATTTAATGGCAAACCCTTTAACACGCCTTTGTCTCAGACATCTTTTTTCCAGGCTTTTCAAGTTCTAACGTATTCTTTAGCAAGGACTACTCCACATGTTCTGCAATATGGTCCATATCTATACCCTTCTAATCAATGAATGGGCAATGCCCATTAATGCAGCCATTGGAACAACTAGAATGATCTAAGCCACATTGTAACATTAAAGAGATTTCCAACTCTTGCACAATGCTCTTGTACATTGTTGTTTTTAGTTTGCTTCTGGAATTGGATAAAATATGATTAGCTAACTGTAATCTAGTGAAATATAAGAGAAATTTACCCTGTTTTACAAAGCTTAACAAAAACAAACAATCAAACAAAAACCTTCCAATCCATCTAAAACAATTTGAACAAGTAATTATTTCAATGTCAAAGTATCTATTTGTAGCGAAGCATATTGGAATGTTGTCTTAAAATAATAAGGAATTAAAAAATGATTCCTTTTTTGTGCCTGTGGTATCATTGCTGAACAAGGGCACTGAAAATCTCTTTTGGAGCAGGGAACCATGTTCTGCTTGGTCAGCAGGCAGCATAAGCTCAATGCAGTCTCTTAGCAAGCTCCTGGACATCAGCAAATTGCAAGTAATAATAAAAAAAGTTGTATTAGACCAAGTGGCAGCTTAGTACTTAATCTGTGAGCTAAAAAAAAAAAAAAACACAACTCAAAAGCAGGGTTGCATAATACTGGGCCTGATGCAGTATGTACTTACAGAACAGGACTGGCTCAGTATTAGTAAAAGTCAATTTGTTAAATATTCGCTGTAAGCATAGTGTTGCACAATATGTGCAATAAATTACTGCATGCATGCATGATCATATTCTGATCACAGAATAAATGCCTGTGTTCTCTATTGCACATTCTCAAGTGTAAATCATCAGGTTTCCAAAATTTCTTTGAAGAAATTTTTTTTCCTTGTGATTGGTTTGATGTTGAATCAAGTTCAGTCACCTCAGACGCTGACAGCTAAGCCTGAAGGTGAAATACATGAGCTATGAGTCCCATCTTGTTAGTGAATGTTTGCACAGCCAACATTTGAAGCCATCCCCAATCCATTGGCTTCGAATTTCAAATCCGTGTGGCTGCAGCACCCCGAGAAGCGGCACTGGCACCCTCAGCCCGCGCCTGCCCCGGGACCAGGCCCTGGGGACGGGTCGGTCCGGCCCTCCCGCCAGCGCCGGGCGTCCCCAGGGGCGGCGGGGCCGCCGCGGCCAGAGCACCGCTGTGAGGGACGGGGCGATTTACCTGGGCCTGGGGAGGGACCCCGGAGAACTTTCAGAAGTACCTGCACCAGGAATAGTGTGGCCAGCAGGATTGTCCTTAGAAATGATTGTCCTGTACTTGGCACTGGTGAGGGCACACCTCGAGTGCTGCATCCAGTTCTGCCCCCTCAGTTCAGGCAGGAGCTTGAGGCGCTGGAGTGTCCAGAGAAAGGCAACGAAGTTTGGGAAGGGTCTGAAGCACAACTCCTATGAGGAGCTGATGAGGGGGCTCAGCCTGGAGAAAAGTAAGCTCAAGGGGGACCTTATTACTCTACAAGTACCTAAAAGGATGTTGTTCTGGTAGGGGCTGAACTCTTCACCCAGACACCCAGTGAGTACACAGTCTTAAACCAGTGGAGGCTTAGTTTAAGGAGGAATTTACGCAGGAAGAATTTCTTTCCAGAAGGGGTGATTAGATATTGGAATGGGTTGACCAGAGAGGTGGTGGAGTCATTGTCCCTGGAGGTGTTTAAGGACAGGCTGGACGCGGCCCTTAGTGCCATGGTCTGGTTGACCCGGTGGTGCTCGGTCACAGGTTAGACTCGATAATCTCAGAGCTCTTTTCCAAGCTCAGTGGTTCAGTGACCGCGCTCCCCAGCAGCCGGACCGGCTCCCCCGAGCGCCGCTCTCTGAGGGTGCGAGTGCCCGGATGTGCCGCCCCGCCTCCCGCACGTGCGCCGCGCCAGCGCGCGGCTGCCCCGCCCCCGCCCGCGGGCCAACCGCCGGGGCGCGCGCCCGGGAGGGCGGTCCCGGGCCCAGAGCTCGCGAGAGGAACATGGCCGCGGCGGGCCGGGGTGAGTGGGGCCGCGGGCGGGGGGCGCGGGGCGCGCGCGGCCGGACGGCGCCTCACCGGGTCCGCGCCTCGCGGGGCGGCCGCGCTGCCGCGCGCTGGAACGGGCCGGGCCGGGCCGGGCGCTGAGATGGAGCCGCACCGCCGGCAGCCGGCCCCGGGGTGGGCTGCGCGCCGCCCCGCCCGCAGAGCCTTGTGAAGGAGGTTGAAGGGGGCGGAAGTGCCGAGAGCGGCGGCCGCCCCCTCTGTGCCGGGTGCGGGCAGGGTCCCCGCGAGGCCGCAGCCGGGCACAGGGAGAGCGGCGGCCCCCAGCCCTGCCGGGCCGCTCTGGGCCCCGAGCAGGTGGAGGTGCCGGTGCCCGCACCGGCCCGGCCGCTGCCGTGCGGCCGCTGGTGGATGTGTCCCGCGTTGTTATTTGCCATAAGGAGCACTCGCTGCCGGGGGAGGTGCGGGGCTGCAAGGCAGCAGGGCGGCTCTGCGGGCCCGGCCCGAACCCTGCGGGCTGTGAGATGAGAGCGCCTCGCCCAGGGGAGACCTGAGCCCTCCGTGAGCCCAGTCGTGCAGCTGCAGCGGAGATCACTGGGCTGTGAGAAGAGCTGCGATCCTTAGAGCAGGGCTGTTAACCAGTTCGACTCGTTTTCTGCGACATACGTGGATTTAGGTGGCACTTGGTTAATCCATTTTAGCGTGGTCAGGCATTGGAATAGGTTGCCCAAGAAGGCGCTGGAGTCATCATCCGTAAGGCGTTTGAGACGATGTGCGCTGGATGATGTGGTTTAGAGGTTTCGGTGGCAGTGCTGCGTTGATGGTTGGACTGGACGATATTGAAGGTCTCTTCCAAGCCTGATGATTCCATGATTCCAGAATCAGCGTTGTTAACGAGTGTATCCACAGCACCTGTATGCACAGCTCCACATCGCGGATACAGGTCACTTGGCTGACACTTGCGGCAGTGGCATTCTTTGGGACGCGGGGAGCCAGGTGGAGAGCTGTGCTGCCGTGCCTTTCTGCCAGCCTTTGTTCCATTTATGTGCGTTTTGTATTGGTGTGCAAGTGTGCAGTGCAGAAAACTGCTGTTAGTCAGTCTCCGTGCACTCAAGAGATATCAGGACTTCTGCCTGCTGCAGGCAATTGGCTGAAATAAAGACTACAGGATTTAAAGTGAATAACTTGTTTAGCTATGAAGTAAGTATCAGGAAAATTATCTTTTTATGAATGTTTTGAAAATACCTCCATAAAGTCTGGTATGTCAATATGTCTAAAATACTTAAAGCTTAAACATCAATCACCTTTTAAGAAAAAAAGCCAAGATTACACTGTCCTGTGAGTACAGCATGTTCTGAAGTTCTTGTTTATGGGAAGGTGTTCACACTTCTTCCTCATGCTGCATCTTTTCCTTTACGAGAAAAAAATGCCCAGGTTTTGAATTAATTGAGATTTTAAAGATTTCAACAAAGGCACATCTGGCATTTCATAAAGTGATTCTCTTAACTTGTGACATTTTATCTTGTTCCTTCCTAAACTTTTCTTTCCAGTGTAATTACTTAGAGCAGATGTGACTTTGTGGTATAACTTAAAACTTGACAAGATTGCTGTCTGGTAATGACATCAATTATTAAGCAAATAAAAATACCTGGAAGCTGAACATCCTTAGTACATTATCAGGAGTGCAGAATATCTTTCAGGATTTGGCAGTATTTGGAGAAGTGTAGAAAACGGAATTTAATGATGCAAATGAGTTTTTAGAAGCAGTCATACAATAACATGAAAATCACCTTTATATTTACCTTTTGTTTGCAAGATTCTGTTGAATTATAAGGTAGTTTCAAACAGCTGTAATAGTGAGTGTTAATACAGAGATATCCAGACGAGTTTAGTGGTTTTTATGCATAAAATACTTTAAAAGTTGGAACTTCTACTTGTTAGCCTAGCAATGAAATTAGGTAATTGATGACACGATGGATTAATGGAATATTGGATAGGGAATATGCTTAGTTGAGGTTTGGGGGTTTTTAAACAGTGTTTAGATTACTGATGAAATTATTATTGAAAGGAAGAGGAAATATATTTTATCATAAGCCATTTATTTTTGTGTGCCTTTTTGGCATTTCTGTCTTGTAACCTCTTCTTGTGTGTTTTGCTTTGGTTTTTTACATGTACAGCTTTTAACCTCTGTCACTGATGTGTACTGAAACCATAACATCAGCTTAAACCTTTAAAATAATTAAAAGTAATCTGTTAGGATTCATCTCTGGGATCAAAAGTAAAATTGTGGGGCTGAGAAACATCAGAGATATTCTAAGTCTGATACCTGTGGCTTCAAAGCCAAAACTGGAAAACTCTATTAGTGTTACTGTATGAAACAGCATTTGATAAATGCCAGACTTTAAAATAACTGTTTTTTTAAACTTTTCTAAATACAGTGAGCAGTAGCTTTCTGTTGACTTAATCATATGTGTCTGTATATATATATACATATACACACACAGTCTAAAATATTCTAATAAATGAAATGTTGATGTTGGAACAAGTCCATTTGAGCTGGTGACATAGCAAAAAGACAAAATGTGGATGTGAACAGTTTCCTTTTTTTGTAAACATTCCATTGTATTGGAATTTATAGAAAACTAAAATGCATTTCTGTTGTATAATTGGCACTTCCAATTGTGAAGACTTGAAGAAACTAGGGCTGAGTTTGTGTATTGCAGTTGAGTTAAAAGGAGCAGATTATGCACCTCTGGTACTGCTGTTCTTGCCAGAAGTAATTGGAAAGGCAAATATTGTCTTAGAATTTGAGCAGGAATATGAAAGGTGCTAAAAGATGCACATGGAGTATATTGAAGTCACTTTTTTCTCAGGATTTTAACCTAATAACACACCTTTACAGCTGAAAATTGCAGAAACTGAGAAAGCTGAACTAGTATGCTTAAGATTTAATTTCTCAGGTAGAACAAAATATGTAACTTTTTAAATAATGAATCCTTGAGACATCTTTGTGATTTTTGTTTTTCCTTTTTGCTTTCCAACCAATCAGGAATGTGCTGAAACAGACACTAGAAGGGTGCTAGAGATAGCAGGTAAGTGCTGTATTTTAAAAAATTTAAACTCTTTAAATAAGTTTTTTTTAAATAAAGCTGCTATGCTATTTTGTTAGTGAACAGTGTATCCCTTTAAGTTGTGCTTAAGGTTTTATAATCCTGTTAAAATTGAAGATTTTCCAGGAAATCTGTTCCTATACAAACAGAAATTTGGTTATATGTAGTACTTGTATTACATAAACTTAAGAGTAAGTTATTGTGATTTTATGCTTTGGCCTTTGATATGAGTGGATTTTAATCACCTCTTAAGATTATGACTTAAATACTTATATGCTGATTAAACAATATTTTCTCTTTTTAAAGGACTGTCATGCTTGCAAGCCTTCACAGATGTTAGCTGTTTTCCAAATGTGAATAGTTTTGATATTAAAACTTCGGCCTATAGAATATTTTGTTTACTATTAACAGTTTTTCTGCAGTGACTCGGGCTTGTACCAGCACAGCATCTCCAGAGAGATTCCAGACCCCTTGTGGTTTGGTTAAATCAATCCAGTTATTGATGAGGAAAATTCTCTCAAGGGGAGTCACCAAGGGTGTTTAATGGCTGCTGATAGTGCTGCTTCAGGAGGTTTTAGGAAGGGAAGTCAAGCAGCTTAGTAAAACAAGGAAGTTGGGTTATATTGGCTAACACATTTTCAGTCCTGGAACTGTGTGCTTCTGGAGTTAGCTGGTCCTTAAATGGTGAAAATTCTGATCCTGCCCTTCCCTCCTCATCTTCAGTGTGGGAAAAAGAGGGTGGGACAGGTTGCCTGATTTTCAGGATAACCAAGACAGAGCATCAAACTTAAAGCCTCTTGATAGTTTCCACTGAGGCCTCCTAGATGAACCAGAGCATTGGTTCCATCTCTACAGAAAAAGCAGACACTGCACACGACTGACATGGCTAAGAGTTGCTCCAGAGACTGGAAGAACAAGATGTACAGAACTGGATATACACAGAAGGGGGTATGTATCTGTAGCATTGATGTATTCCAGCAAACCCCAGAACTGTGTTAGGCAAAAAATCTCAACTAGAAACACTTAAAGGCAAGGTGTGTTTAGGGTTGTGTGCAGGCTCCATGAACAGCAGGTTTGATTAGACTTGGCAAACCAGTTCACTTTGTGTCCTTTTTAGTAAATCTTCAACCTTTGATTCTTACTGTGAATAAATTTGCTGCTTTTTTAGCTGCATGTCCAAAAAAAAAGAACCACTGAAATTAAGACTATTTGCACTTGACAGCCATGAATGTTTCATGTTTGCTTCTTCAAATGAAGAAATGATTCTTCTTATTCCATGCTGTGCTGAGGACAGAGAACCAGTATTTCTGGCATTGTTTTGAAGCATTTTTGGCACCTGAAGTTCAAGAGCCAAAATTGCCCAGTGTTAGTTACAGAATACAACTTTGTTCAAACTTTCCTTTTGTGGCAAAGATTGATGTCTACCACAAAAATCTTCCATATCCTGAAACTCCAAAGCAAATCCACATTATAGAATTTATTGAAGTGTTCAGATTACTGTTATTAAATCCAGATGTTAATGTAACAGTTTTGCACTTGTGCAATAAACTGAATCTCTCTGATTGTTGACTCAGTAGAGAGTATTTTAAGATTTCATATTTGGTCTTTGGCTTAAACATTAATTAAATGTTTGAAAAGGGGCTTTTACCTGGGCATGGTGCCAAAAGCAACAAAGTGAGAGAGAAGTCCTAGTTATACTCAGTTTTGATCTTCACACCAACTACTGAAACACAAATTAACAAAACAAAAAATAAAGACAAAAAAGAAACCCACAGCTTTTTAGCCTTCTAAGTGAATTTATGACATAGGTAGTCCTAGTTACATACCTGAGAAGGACATGCATTTATGTTCGTGTTTCCACATTTTGTGTCTAATGCTAGAAGCCTGCTGGAAGGCTAGGGAGCAGTTGCTGAAAACTTGTTTACAAGTTCTAGAGACATTTAAATTAGTTTCTTAGTCATTCTTTAAATGTAAAGGAGGTAGCTCATAAAAATTCAGCAGAGAAACTCGTTAACATGAGTTCAAATTGTTAGTGTATTCAGTGAAGTCCAGTGAAATGGTTCTTACATCTCATGTAGAGGCAAATTTCTCAGTATTTCCTACACAAAAAAGGTAGAAGAGACACAGATTTCTAGCTGCTGAAATTTGTTTAGTTTCATTGCTGCAATGCTTAATTTTGTTCCCCATATTTTTAAAATTGAAAATGTATAACTTGGTAAAGTTGCAGTCCAGCAAAGCTTTAAGCATGTGTTTCTGACACTAAATGGGTTGCACAAAGTCAAACACGTGTTTAAGGCTTTTCATGATTTAGAATCCCTGCTAGTAAAGCTTTAGGAAAGTAATGTTGTGACACAGGCAGAGCAGTGTGTGTGACAGTGTCTGTGGTGGCTGTCTCCTTACAGTTCTTACTGCTGGTCCTTACTGCACCTGCACACAGAACTGCACTGCTGCAGGTCTATGTGCAGGTGCTGCCCTACGCTGGTAGGGGTTCAGTGTAAGGTGGGAATTAGGGGTTTGTACCTGGGTGTTGTCTAAGGGAACACCTGATGTCATTGTTAATTTCACATTGTGTTTTTAAAATGCTGCAAAGTGTGTTACTTGTCCTTCTGTAGATTGTGCACTGGCCATCTTGGCACATTCCCTTGTACGTGAGTGGCTGGAACTGTGAAAGCAAAGGAGTCTTTGTACTTTTATAATCTTCCCTTGGTGCTCAGGCAGGTGAGGGTCTCAGAATTGGTGTATTCTGAGAATGGAGCTCGCTGAATATACTGAGATGGCTATACAGAAACTAATGGGGATCTCCCCATTCATTAGGGTTGGCCTGAATTCTACCATTTGTGTGTTATTTTAGGAGGTTTTAAATAGACTAATAAATCTCTCTGAAATATTTTTGAGTGTGTTTTTTTGTTATATATCACTTGGTACATGATTTTTTTTAGAATTTCATCTTTAAAAATAAATTTTTAAACATATTTTTCTATGAAAAGTACAACTAAGGTACCCAAAAAGAAAAGCCTTAATGTTTTGTTAATGTTTTTGCTGATGTTTTTCAGTATGTAATTTGTATCTTTATAAATATACTTAGTATATTTAAAAGGATTTTGTTAAAGACTTGTAACCTGTATGAGTTAGCAAAACAACTGGAAACCTCACCATTTTCTACTTAATGTTTTCAACACTAATTTCATTTGCAGTGTCTGGACTGCAGAAGGTTTTTAATACCCAGTTTATGAGGGTAGAGCTCACTTATGCTCTTTCTAGTAAATTCTTAACTAAAGAGAAGTTTCTTTATTTTGCAATCTTATTTCTGAATTTGTATGGGTTAATTACAGTATTGCTTCTTTATGTTAATGTCAAATAATACAGCAGCACTCAAATACAAGGTAGTGAGCAAATACTGTCAGTTTTTGCAAAATATAAACTGTCTTTATGATTATGGGAATTATAAGTCTTCCAATGTGAATCAAGCCCTAAATAATTGTCTCTAGACAGTTTTTACCAACTTTCTTTGCTTCTATGAATAACTGAGTGTAATTTGTGATTTCTTCTGGAATCAGATCCTCCCTCCTCTGCCAGATGTTCCACCCTTCCTCTGTTCTGCCAGTTAAACTATTTGATGATTTTTACCAGGTCCTGCATCAGAAGCCTAATTTTAAAAACTTGTCATACAAAATTGGTAACAGAGAAAAGTGGAATCTCTTGGAAAGGCTGAAATGCAGGTGGTGAGAACCTGCTCTGGCCATAATTCATCTTTACTGTCCTGGGAGCGCTGTGGGCAGGAGCACAGGTGGGAATGTGGAGCCAGCCCAGCCCTTGGACACGGGGGATGGGTAAAACACTGGGACTGCTTCCCTTTGCTGCAGAGTAAACCACGCTCACAGGAGAGCCTTGGACACTGTTCTACACCAAATTTTCCTCAAAATACCTGGGGCAGCTGGGGCCTGAAGGTGGTGCAGAAGAGACTTCTGTAGTGTCTTCCATGTGCCTTGGGGTTCTTGGCACCAGTAGTAGATTTTGGAAAGCCTAAGCCAAGCCGTGTGCTGGCTGGCTGAGGAACATGGTCAGGAAAAGGTTATGAAAGAAGGATGGTATACAAAGCATTTTTGATAGGTAAAGCTGAGTTGATTTAGTGATAGATGGAGGATAGAAAAAACAGAGAATTCAGGAGTAGAAATCAGGAAAGTGGGTATTGAAGTGACCTGGGAAAAAATAGCTATTGTCTGACACTAGAAAAAGAACAATGAAAATAAACAAAGAGAAAAAATTCTTAGGCTACAGTATTTATATTTGATACCAGATTATATTTAATTAATATCTGTTTTCATCACATGATCAGTATTTTCCAACAGAGTTTCTAATAAAGCTTTGTAGTATCATTTTGAAATATACTCAAACTACAAGAACTACAGAAAGTAAATGTGTGACAGCTGCTAAGTGCAGAAATCTGTAATCTACTGTAAACAATTTTATGTTACCATCTATTTCTTACTTATTTTTAAACAAGCAGCACTGTATGGAATGAAATATTGGAACACAATAGTTTAACAGATAAGACTTCTTTGAAACTGGCCTTAGGCAACATAAACTCTCCTGACCCAGAGTTTCTGCCCTATTAGTCTTTAGCTAATTTCAGTAGGGAAAATGGAATTCAAGTTCATTTTAGCTTTGGAGATCGTGAGAAATGGGTTCTTAAAGTACTGAGGGCATGGACTGTGGATTATAGCATTAAACTGTTTAGAACATCAGAGTTTTCAGGCACCATACTAATAACATACTTTTTCTGATTATTTTAGGATATGGGTGTTGATCTGGACATTAGGCTTCATCTGTTATGATCTTCGATCTGTATTTATAAAGAAGCAATAAGTTATATTCTTTCCTGTGGTCTTACCCTGTTCCTTGTTAGAAGAAATGTGTTTGATTTGAAAAGTAAAAATTTGGCTTCTGTTAAATGAAGAGTGTAATTTTCTCTTAATCAAATT